CAACACCGAGGGTTGTGATCCCGTTGCCAGTCCCGGTCCGGTACGGGCGCAACACTGAGGGTTGCGATCCGTTGCCGGACACGAAAAAAGACAAAAAGGAAAAAAAAAAAAAGAAATGAATAAACTGTAAACTATATGTGTCAAGTGGGCAAATCTCAAACATAACACTGAATGAAAAAGCATGTTGCATAAAAATACATGCAATCTAATTCCATTTATACTTTAAAAAGTTCACGAAAAAACAGAATTGAAAAATAATACGAGGTCTGGCCAGTTAGATCAGTTGGTTAGAGTGTGGTGCTGATAACACTAAGGCCCAGGGTTCCATCCCTGTACCAGCCAGCTGTCCAGAAAAAAAAAAAAAAAAGTCTTCTCCTCCAAGGTTCTGAAGTCTGGGAAACTTGCCTGGCTGTGTACTGAGATATATTTTTATATCAGGAATGATTTCTAGGTCTAAGAATGGTACTGCTATACAAACCAATGGCTTTTACATTGCAGCTCCGTTCCATAAGATAGGACCTGAGAACTCTTAAATTGTCATTTTTTTTTTTTTTTTTTTTTTTAAAAAAAAGCAAATATGTGGTAAAACTATAAAGAAAACCAAGAAAATGAAAAACAAAACTTAAGATGCTGGTTATATCCAAAGGCAGGGAGAGAGAGGGGATATAATCAGGAGAGGCATACAGGGCTTCAAAGGTATTGGTAAGGTTTCATTTGGGGGGCTGGGTGTTGGGCACATGGATGTTCATTTTATTATTCTTTAAATATACCTATATCTATATTTATTCTTTTATATGTATGAAATATTTTTTCAAAAAAATTTTAAAAAGAGGTATACATGAGCACTGCAACCATGCTGGCTGTCACGTGGGGACTATCGCCAGGCTAGAAACTAAATAAATCCAGCCAAAAGGAGGCTTATAGAATTTAATAGCAACATAGGCCTGGCCTGTGTCTCACTTGGGAGAGTGTGGTGCTGACACCACCAAGTCAAGGGTTAAGATCCCCTTACCAGTCATCTTAAAAAAAAAAAAAAAAAAAAGAATTTAATAACAACAGATTTGCAGCTGACTGTTAAATAAATTTTCATTTTCCCTCTTTACCCAAAAATCTGTAATGAGAACACATCAGTGGTAACTTTAGTTCTGTTAATATTGGGAAGATTATAATTTAAGAGAATAAATACATCAACAAATTAATACTAACCTAAAATGAGACAGCTATGAAACACCAAAGGAGTCTTTCTGATAGAGAAATTGCATGATGGTTTAGTAAAATAATGAGAGAAGCAGTGCTGGAGGTGATAAGGGGCTGAAGGGCGGACAGTAGATGACTAAATAAGGAGGCAAGTAAGAACTTAAATATTTTCCCCTTCTCTCCCTATCCTAACACACAGGGAGAGTGATTTAGTAACATACAAACCAACAAATCATTTCACAAATAAGAAATTTAAAATATTGCAGATGATAAGCAATAACACCACTCAATCATATTCAAGCATAAACTGAAAGAGTTCTACCCAAGCTGAGAAATTCAGCCAGCTTTCCCACCTCTCCAGAATGCTGCTGCTATCATGGATGGGAATATGACTTTAGGAATTATGCATTCTCTGCATCTAACAAAGTACAGGGCAAACAAGCCAAAGGGACTCCAATCCAGAAGCTACTCTATTGGCCATTAAAGAGGAAAGAACTTTTCACAAAGCATTTCCTATCTATTACTTTCCACTCTGCCCACCCCAATATTCTCAGTGAGATCCTTCAGACTATCCCTCATTTTACTCCTCCCCATTATCAATAGCAAGGTACTTTTTCTTACACTTACCCACTAAGTAAAACCCCTTAAAAATAGAGAAATATTAAAAGAATGTTTATGTACAGGTGCACATGTTATGACTGTTGTTTAAGAAGCTCTTAAAGGGGCTGGCCCATGGCTCACTTGTGAGAGTGTGGTGCTGATAGGCACCAAGTCAAGGGTTTGGATCCCTATATAAGGATGGCCAGTTAACTCACTTGGGAGAGCGTGGTGCTGACAACACCAAGTCAAGGGTTAAGNGGCGCACTCTCCAGTGCGCCACCAGGCCGGCCCGTAATAAATACTCTTAACATTTTGGTATACATATACATTTGGTATATGTTCCCCGACTTATGATGGGGTTACATCCAGATAAATCCATCATGAACTGAAAAATCCTAAATTGAACCATCCTAAATTGGGGACTGACTGTATATACTTCTGGTTTCTTTTCAATGTATATGAATGATTATGTATAGACATGAGTCTATTAAAAAATAAATCACCAAACTAAAAAATAAAAATGTTCTTGGTTGCGCTGCCTGGACTATTTTGAAATTTTTTTATTTTTGCCACTCATAATATGATTTTTAACTTAACAACAACTCCAAACAAACAAACAAACAAACAAACAAACAAACAAAAAAACAGAAACAAAATTCTATCTGTCATGAAACTGGACCACAATACAGGAAGAGGCAAGGAATAGTAAATGTCTTAGGTTTTCCTCTCTTCTGCCTTGCTAACTAACTATAGTGACGTTTGTAGTTGAAAAGTCAAGTCACTTGGACCTACAGAGTCCTGAAAAGGCTCAGGAATTGGAAGCACCCCAGAACGGGAGTGGGAAGCTGAAATGAGGAGGATTCTTAAGAAGTCTTCCAAGTAATCAGATCCCTAGTTCCTGCCCAGCACAGACAGGCAACTATCCCTCCTCAACCACTACAGGAATCATGAGGTTTACTTAGCCTCTAGCGAAGTCTAGACATAAAGCAAAGAGGAAAGGCAGGAGACTGAACTAAAAATGAGGAGATTAAAAAGAAGTTTCCCAGGTTGGCTGGTTAGTCCAGTTGGTTAGAGTGTGGGGTTATAACCCAAAGGTCAAGGGTTCAGATCCCCATACCAACCAGCCACCAAAAGACAAAAAGAAGTTTCCCTTCTTAATCCTGCCTTCCCTTCTCTCATTTAATTCTAATATCTCAACAGTCAAGCTTCAATCTCCCAGCAGGAGAACCTTTGGAAAACCTACCAAATCTCCATCTGGCAATTATCTAGGTATGAAAGTAAATGTATACATGCTAGGGAAAAAAAAAAAAAAAAAAAAAAAAAAAAAAAAAAAAAAAAAAAAA